ATATAGCTGACCCAGGTTCAATCCTGGCATCCCATGTGGTCCCCTAACACCATCAGGAATAATTCTTCAGTGAAGAACCAGAAGAAACCCATGAGCACTGTCAGGTATGCCCTCCCCCCCACACACATACACACTAAAAAAGAAGAATGAAAAGATATGTTCAATAATGCTTTAGGATTTATTATAATTTAAAAACAATCCAAACGAGTATTATGGAAATACAGATATCTCTAGAAGAACCCTTCCTAGAATGTAAATTCTCTGATGAGGTACATTCCTCCCAGTTGCATTTCTGACAGCATATATGGTCTCCTAAGTATCAACCACCTGGTTTGGCCCCAAAACCAAAACCAAACCGAACAAGACTTGCCCCATGATAGGTATTCAAATGTTTTCTGATGAATGTGTTTATAATGTTTAAATATCACAAGTTTGCTCTAGGGTGATTCATGCAATGTAGCTGTTTCTTCTAAACCAGCAGATGCCATTAATTCTGAGAAACTGTACAAAAACCAATTTCCCCTAAATAACAGTCAATTTTTCTTGAGGGGGAGGGGGCTTAGGGCCATACCCAGTGGTACTGAGGGGACTACATGTGGTGCCAAGAATTGAGCCAGAGTTAGATGTATGCAAGATAAGGGTCTTAAGAGCTATGATTAAGATAATGTGTTGCCAGCCCAAAACAGCCATCTTTTGAGTCTTCACAGTCAACTTAGAATCTAGATAAATGGGCTGTTTAATTATGTCTAATATTCAGCTGTCAGGTTAGCTTGAGATTTAGAGTCCAAGGTGGAATTAAGAGCTTTTGCTCAATCTTTCTGTACTCTATACAGAAGTGGTAGAGCCTCAACCATTCAGGAGCTATGATCCTTCCAGCTGTGACCTGCTGTAGGTATTAATCATTAAGGCCTCACTTCAAGTAAATGTTCCCTTTTTGGGGGGAGCTGTGGGGGAGAGTTACTAAATCAGGTGCTGGTATCACCAGTCCAGGAGGAGATACAGGATGTCCACACCTCTGGCTGGCTATGGTTCACCTTGAATCATCTCATTCGCTTCCTGTTCGTTTATGAGGGAACTCAAAAGGCTCTAACAAAGAGGACTTTACATTACCAAGACAATCAATGCTCATCACATCCTCTACAAATGAGCCTAAAGCTAAACGGAATTTCTGGCTACTGGTTCAGAACCTGGACTGCTCCTAATATTTGAAGCCATTTTCAAAGCTGCCATTCAGTTCTTGTACCATGTATGTAACTTTGTTTTGCTTTCTCTTGAGATGCTGAGGTGAAAACACAGAAAATGCACAAACTATTACACTAAGTCACCCTCTATCCTCTTGACCCCATGTAGGAGAGGACAAGCTCCAATCATGTCTATGGGAAGACCATCCTTCTAGCAGACACTGTGAATGCATCCCCATCACCATCCACAGCAATCCTATGATGGAAAGTGTCCTTGCATCACCAATGAGGAAATATCTCAGAGAGATTAATACAGATATCCCAAGCCAAACAGATCATACGTGAAGTAGTCAGTACATAAACTCAGGTCTGCTGAACCCAAGCTGTACTCCATTTTCCACACAGCAACCAGAGCTACTGTAAAACAAAAGTCAGAATAATCCCCTATCAAGATGCCCCATGCCACTTTCATCCAACACTCTCTGCAGGAGCCTGCCTGCTCTGCTCTCTTAACTGCCTGTCTTCCCACTCCCTACTTCTCACCTTTCTTGTCTTCCTTGCAGTCCTACTAGTCTTCTTTATATTCTTTGGAATCATCAAGTCTGTGACTCAGAGCCACCAAACTCGCCAGTTCCTCTGCCTGGGATTCTGTTCCCTGTGTTCAGCGTATATCTCCAACAACATAAACGTCTCTTGCTCTGGGACCATTTGCAAGTACTCTTCCAAGAAAAGCCCCCCAGGGCGCTCAAAGTGGCCCTGAAGCTAAACTTGTTGTTCTTGGCTGCATTTAACAGCCCACTCATATAGTTACTGCCAGCAGCTGGACACACACACACACACACACACACTGGGATTGTGAGAAGTGTACTGGCAGCACAGGGGAAAAGCATTTCTCCAGGTGGGCTTTGTGTCATTTCATGCTGCACCTAAGACTAGGGCCCAGGCTCAGGACTATCTCCTACGTATCACTGTGCTGCCTCTCCTCTCTCGCCTCCTCCTCTTGCCCTGGCTCCTAGAGCGCTACTCCACACAGCTGAGCTAACTTGACAGGTAACTCTCTCAGCTCCACAATCTTTTCATTTGCCAGAAGTGGTCCTGACAGTGGGGACTTTAATAACCCACACTGCTCTGAGAAGCTTTTTATTTTATTAGAGAAGAGATATTTGAGGCAACTGATAACACAAGAAGAAAATTATATTTTTGCAAAGAGGGGGGTAAAAAGATCAAGAGAACTAATTGTCTGCTTGTTGCTAGAATAATTATTTCATTTAATGCCTTCCAGAATATTTTTCAAAGCAGATATAAAGGGACTCTTATTAACGGAGTTATAAAAAGCTGTTCTCTCTGGCATTTAACCAACCAGAGGACTTCTAAAAGTGGAGTTTCTGAGATCCCAATACAAATCTCCAAGCTACAAGGCAGTGAAGGCAGATGTTATTCATTATACAAAAAAAAGACTAATAATATACCACAGTAAAGTTTCTAAAATTATCTGTTTTGCAAACTAACTTTGTCTCCCTTCATCTATGATGTACACCTAGTCTCATAAACTTATTTGAAGATGATTCATTTCCTTTAAAAACCATACATTCTCTATAAGTATTTTGTAAATGAATCAAAAGGGTGGTTTAATTTCCAACCCGAGTCTTTTTTTTTAATTTAAATTTCATTTGAGACTGTCTATATGAACAACTTTTTAAATGTGGACATTCCTGCTGGCATTTTGTTTGCTTAACTTTTAATTTTATCTCTTTCTCTCTCTCTCTCTCTCTCTCTCTCTCTCTCTCTCTCTCTCTCATGCATGGAACACTTCAAAGGAACTTGCAGCTTAAGGCTATGGTCAAACTCAAAGGGTGAACTATCAAAGAGAGAAGAGGACAGTTTTCTGAGAATGTTTAAGCGAAGATTTCAGTTTGGAACTTTTAATCAACGCATATGCCTTATCCTCACAAAATATATGCAAGATACAACAAATAACGCTGTACTATACAGACAAATGCCAAGACAGACAAAATTCTGCCAATGTTCTCAGTTCCAAAGAAGAAAGAAAAAGGAGCTCAGATTCCTTTTAGTATTCTACTGCTTAGCTCAGTAGGTAAGGTAAAGGTAAAGGCCCTCCCGTTGATCGTCGATTTGCTCGAGCAGGCCCAGTAACGTCTCCATTGGAGACTTTGTTGTTACTGTGTCTGGCATATCGAATACTCTCGGTAGCTTGCCGGGCTCTCCGAGAGGGGCGGAGGAATCAAACTCGGGTCGGCCATGTTGGCCGCTTGTAAGGCGAACGCCCTACCGCTGTGCTATCGCTCCAGCCCAAGATGTAAAAAATTAAATCACACACACACACTGTCTCACTGTCCTCCCATTGTTCATCGATTTGCTCGAGCAGGCCCAGTAACGTTTCCATTTTGAGACTTGTTGTTACTGTGTTTGGCATACTGAATATGTTACAGGTAGCTTGCCAGGCTTTGCCGTGTGGGCAAGATACTCTCAGTAGCTTGCCGGGCTCTCTGAGAGGGGAGGAGGAATCAAACCTGGCTTGGCCAGGCTGGCTGCATGCAAGGCAAACTCCCTACCTCTGTGCTATCACTCCAGCCCCCAAAATTAAATAAATAAATAAATAAAATTAAAAGGTGTTTAGAGGAAATAAAGGAATAGGCACAGAGTAATGGTGTCACAAATGTGTTGCCTGGAGCATAAACTGCCCAGATTTTCCCCATATCTATAGTGTACATGACCATCAATCTGGAACATTCTTTAATCTTTCCCATCAGCAGACACATATTCAAACTCTATAGCATTAAGGACACGTTTATCTGGTATCCAGACATGAATCATATTCAGGCTTCTTCATATGACTGCCAACTGTTTATTATATAATACTCAAACTGGGGTGGGGGGAGCATTTTAATGGCTTGAGTCATCTTCCAAAGAGTTTCTAATTTATTTATTTATTTATTTATTTTTATTAGTGAAGCACCATGAGGTACAGTTGTAGACTTACAAATTTTTGTGCTTGGGTTTCAGTTATACAATGATCGAGTACCCATCCCTCCACCAGTGCCCATTCTCCACCACCAATGATCCCAGTATCCCTCCCATTCCCCTCCCCACACCTCTGTGGCAGGGCATTCCCTTTTGTTCTCTCTCTCCTTTTGGGTGCTGTGGTTTGCAAAAGAGGCATTGAGTGCTAATCATGTTCGGTTTATAGTCTGCTTTCAGCATGCATCTCCCATCTTGGGAGGATACTCCCAACACACTTTACTTGGTGCTCCCTTCTCTATCTGAGCTGCCTTTTCCCATAGCATGTGCGGCTGGCCTCCAAGGCATGGAGTGAAACTCCTGGTACTTATCTCGGCTATTCTTGGGTGTTAGTCTCCTATTTTGTTACTTTATATTCCTCAGATGAATGCAATCTTTTTATGCCTGTCCCTCTTTTAAGAGTTTCTAATTTAAAAAAAAATGTGAAACAGGAAAAAAGGCTACAGGTGGTTTCATGATATTTATTAGCATTACTGAGGGTTTTTTTTGCCTGGATGAAGAAATATTCCTTGGAAACTCTTATCTGTGGATAACTGGCAACATCCCAAAGCATTATCTCTGCTGAACACCTGCACTGGCTCCTCCTGAAGCACACTGCTGCACTCAACTTTTCTACAGAATCTTTGAAATAAAGAAATATTCTCTTCCAACAACCCAACTTTTATTAAAGTTATGTCCTTGTATTCTAACGGTGCCAAGGAGGAAAAGGAGACAAATATAACGTATATAGTATGTAGCTCTAACAACCAAATATGTGTGTTTCTAAGAAATTCAACTTACTTTTTCATTCCATGCCCACAGTCCAATTCCAAGAAATGTTATTCCCAAAAACTGAAAGAAAAAGAGAAAGCAGTATAAACATCAAGTTTTTACTAATTGAAAACACTCTTTGTATTACAAATAAGGAGTGTTTTCAGTCATTTTTTTTTTCATTTTACCTCGTAGCAGTTTTCCTACAATTTGACAGATGATCTTTATTTCTTTATTTGGCTTTTGGGTCACATCTTGCAAGCTACTTCTGGCTTGGTGAATAAATCCTTGAGTGCTTAGGAGACAACACAATTCTGGGACTCAAACCTAGGTTTTTCACATGCAAAACATGTGTCCCTTAAGATATTTTTTTGGAACACTGACAATCTTTTTCTTCTTCTTCTTCTTTTTGATTCACCGTGAGCTACAGTTACAGAAGTTTTGTGTTTGAGTTTCAGTCATACCACTGACAATCTTTAAAAGGAAAACAAATGCCATAATTCCCCTGATTAAAGAGGGTTGCAGGATTAAGAAGGGTTGGGGACATGTAGGTGCTTAGAAGCCTTTTGCAACATGAATAACTACAATAAGGTAGAATCTTCAGTAAAAGGAAAGGTGTCGATTAAGTTTAACACTGCTTTTACTTGGTGGGAGAGATAAGCAGATTTTTCACTATAAAGTGAGAACCAGGTCATGGACTCAAGTGACCTTGTGACCTTCTCTACCACTAGCCAGTGCTCCTGGGCCAGATGAGCCAGTACATGCAGAAGTCCCATGGTCAACCCCTAGTTATCACTCAACCACAACCTCTGTATTACTTTGTTGTCATAGGTTTTAGGAGACTTTGCATGGACCATACCCTGAGTAAGAATGACTGGGCCTCCCTGGAACTACTGACCATGAGAAAAAACGTCTTATTCATCATTTTTAGTATCAAGAACAGCGAAGTTTCCTTCCAAGACACTGAAGAGAGCAGAGTACACATGCCTCTTTTCAAGCAGTCTGACGTGGTAGCGGTTTCTGATCAAACTGTCCTAAATCACGATCACGGTCCTCGTGTTATTCATCGATTTGCTCGAGCAGGCCCAGTAACGTCTCCATTGTGAGACTTATTGTTATTGTGTTTGGCATATTGAACACATCAAGAGTAGCTTGCCAGGCATTGCCATAAGGGCAAGATACTCTCGGTAGCATGCTGGGCTCTCCGAGAGGGGCGGAGGAATCGAACTCGGGTTGGCCATGTTGGTTGCTTGCAAGGCAAACGCCCTGCCTGCTGTGCTATCGCTCCAAATGTCAGAAGTTATCCAAGAGAGAGGTACTCAGGGAAATCAGCTTTTGGCCAATTACTCTTTTCAGTTAAGGGAAATCTGATGCCTATTATCCTGGAAAGGACTGGCATGTGCAAGAAGGCAAGGCACTTTTGTAAGTAACAGCCAGTAAATCTGAAAACAGTAGGGCAGAGGGAAACGAACACTGAACAAACAGGCACTTGGCTGCTCTAAAAACAATGTGTTCTTGAAAAGTCAAGCTTTCAGGATCTCCCATGTGCCTGGCACTGCAGAGCACACAACACAGGCATATATTCTGCACTCTATGTTCCTTTCCCTATACACTGAACCCCATACAGCAAGGCTCATGCACATCTCTGATTTGGCAAAAACTGAAGACCCCATTCCTCTGAGCACTTTGGTGCTTAGAGAAAAAGTATTTGGAATGGTGTTTTACTTTCAACATCCCAACAGAAGAATTATGGGCAACCCATAGAGTAACAGAATCAGAATGCTACTGCACTTCCTGTGTTTTTCTGTTGGCTGTTCTGCTTTGTTTTTTGCTTTTTAGAGGCCACCAGAGCTACACCTAGCAGTGCTCAGATGACAGGAAATAAACCTGGGACTGTTTGGAAGCCAGGCGGTATTATTTGAGCACCTCCCCATCCCACATCCGGTTTCTGATCCAGAACAACAAATGTACTCACCTCCAGAATCAGTTCCCCAAATGGCACAAAGTTACCCCAACTCCACAGAACAAAAATAAAACTACTCAGAAACTGGGGTATGGCTCAGCTGGCGAATATGAGGCCCTGAATTCCATCCCCTGTACCACCAAAACATAAAGCATAGCAATTTGGTGTTTTACTCTCACATTAAAGGTCCCAGGAACAAGAGGGTAGCACGTGACATGCACATACACAGGGCCCCGTTAGACCTAGAGCCAAGGAGCACCAGACACTTATACCATATGGCATGAAGAGAACAACATATATTTTCCCCAGAAAACCAAAAGCAGTTGAGGAGATGAAACCGTGTTCCAGGTAAGAACTGGGGGTGGGACAGAAATTTTCCTAATGGAGTTGATATAGGATTCAAAATACAGACAGTTCTTCACTGTCCACTTTACAAAGTTTCCCTCTCAGTCAGGGACCTTTGAAAATGGCTGTTCTTTCATGGATCATCTACACAGATTGGAAATCTCCTTTTCCCCAGAGAGGAGAGAAAGCAATGTAAACTGGTGAAGGGGTAGGGCATGATTTTTGGAGAGTGGCACAATCATTCATTATCAGGAACTATTCCTGGCTCTGGGCTCAGGAGTGACCCCGGTGGTTATTGTGGGACGTATGTAGTATTGGGGATTGAACAGGGTCAGCCACATAAAAACCTTAAACTTTGCACTCACCCTCACTGTCAGATCCAACAACAGATACTTAAACACAATTTCCTCTAAATTACTACTCCAGTATTCCAGCTTTAACTGTGGTTTTCCAACCAAGTGTTCAAAATCTTGGATAAGGAACACTGGTTTTGAAGTCAAAACCTAAGCAAGTGAACAGTGCAGAACTGGGCCTCAACTATGTAGACCTTCTGTATTACATCACTAGGGTATATATCCCCCTGATCTCCCTCCACCAGGTTTTCTTTTCAAATCAAGTTCTTCCAGCTCCAAATAACTAGAGAATAGACAGAACACAAACGAAGGTGCAAAACTCTTGAGGAACACTAGGCGTCCCTTTTCCCACCTCCTGAATCATGATTCACCCAGCTGATCTGAAACTCACAAGCCCACTCTTAGTCAGTTTGATTTCTTTGAAGAACAAAGGAAACCAGAGTTATCGTCTCATAAATAAATAACTGTAAACACCAGTACAAGTGTGTAGTCAACTAATTTTTGATGTTTTTTTTAAATAAAAAACAGTGATTTTGCGAATATTTTAAAACAATTCACGCAGATTAGCTAGCATTGCCCTGCCCAACACAGGGGCTATTTAGAAACTGATCTCCCTCAAGACAGATAAGGCCAGTAAGAGTAAAAAAAAAAAAAGCAATAAAATTGTAAAACCCAATGTGGGGTGTAGGATAGATAACAAAGGGTTTGTCCTTTCAGCCTTGCCTCAGGGAACTTAAAGCAATTAAAGCAATGTCCTTTCTGTATGGACACAGGAAGACAGTTAATATTATGCTTTGTAACTTGGAAGTTGATTGACTCAGAATAATATTTACTCCTAGGCATCTGCTCTCTCGACTCAGTTGCCCTTAGTTCCTAGCACCCCAAAAGCAGGATCCCAAAAAGGGACTGAATGGACCCAGGGCAAGCTGTGAGCTACAGACATCGAAATGGGCCAGGCCAAAGTGCCACAATACTCAACTATAAGTTGAGAGCGTGATCATAGACAAATGCTGTCATGATTCAAAAGTAACGACGAGACTAGGACCCTGCTGAGGTTAGGAAGACTCATCTGGCCTGAGGACTGTGGTCTGGAATATACAATGAGATGTCCTCAGGAAGAACCAAACTTTAAGTTGATATGTCTCTTACTGTGCTCATACAGAATGAGCTACTAGAAATATTCGAAGTAGATTAACTACAACTATTTAAAGTGGATTACTAGCTGAGGAAAGAAGAAAGCGACATACCCTGAATGGGATCCTGCCCTTAAGCGGATCTCCTAGTAATCCACAGTAATCTCTTTAGATGAGATTTTATCCTGAGTTAATCTCCTGGAGGAGTGGTCTTACCTCTCTTTGTTGATTTGTTAATGTTCAACCCAGCTTTGTGTCACCACCCTATGTGATTGCTATATAAACTAAGTCTGTAAGAGTGGCGGCAGAGTCAAAATCCAGAGTGAGGGACAGAGTCAGAAGACAGAGCAAGTCGGGCTCCAGAAGTCAGGGTCAGGATCCAGGAAAGCAGAAGCAGAGAACGAAGGAGAAGGGGGCAGAGTCAGAATCCAGAGCAAAGGGCTCCAGAGAGAGACGCAGAAGGACTCTAGAGAGAGAGATCTGGAAGAGACCAGAGAAGAGGCTACAGAGACGGAGTCAGAAATAGTGAGACAGACAGAAGAGAGCACAGCAGCACGCACAGAAGCAAAGCACAAAGGAGGAACCATCCTGATCCGGTCGGTCCATACACAGTGGCTTGAGAGCACTGAACGCAGGTGGTGAGAGAGAGCTGCCCTGAGAGCCGGCCAACAACACATCATCATCTTCACATCCCTCCCCCAAGTTATTTTTTACAGTGGGGCTGAAGAGTTCACTCTTTGCATGTGTGAAGATGAGGTTCCATCCCAACACTGCATATGGTCCCTCAAGCTCTGCTGGAACCAGGAATAGCTACCCCATCACTGCTGGATGTGGCCCAAAACAACAAAACAAAACAAAAAAATCACTGTGAATTAAGAGAACATAAAGTACTCACTAACAGCTGATTTGTTATTGATTACAGGTTGCAATAGTACAGTGAGCTAAACTGTACTTTTTTAAAAAACACTGTAGCACTGTCCTCCTGTTGTTCATCGATTTGCTTGAGAGGGCCCAGTAATGTCTCCACTGTGAGACTTGTTGTTACTGTGTTTGGCATATCAAATACGTCACGGGGAGCTTGCCAGGCTTTGCCAGGCGAGATACTCTCAGTAGCTTGCAGGCCTCTTCGAGAGAGGCGGAGGAATCGAACCCAGGTTGGTCAGGTTGGCCGCGTGCAAGGCAAACACCCTACCCACTGTGCTATTGCTCCAGCTTTTTAAAAAGCAACAAAATAAAATATTATTCATGTAATTTCATTGACTTTATTTAACTTTATACAGCTCATGT